CTGGGGGGTCACGTGACGATGACGTCATCAGTGATGATGACGATGACGATGCGGATGCCGATTACGTCATTGGCATCCGCATCGCCATCGTGACTGATGACGTCATCAGTGACGTCACTGATGACGTCATCGTCATCATCACTGATGACGTCATCGACACGTGACCCGCCCCCCCCTAGGTCCTCCCGAAGGAACCCGAGGTCCTCCCGAAGGAGCCCGAGGTCCTCCCGAGGTCCTCCCGAAGGAACCCGAGGTCCTTCCGAGGTCCTCCCGAAGGAACCTGAGGTCCTTCCGAGGTCCTCCCGAAGGAGCCCGAGGTCCTTCCGAGGTCCTCCCGAAGGAACCCGAGGTGCTTCCGAGGTCCTCCCGAAGGAACCCGAGGTCCTGGGGGGTCACGTGACGATGACGTCATCAGTGATGATGACGATGACGATGCGGATGCCGATGAAGTCATTGGCATTCGCATCGCCATCGTCATCGTCACTGATGACGTCATCGGCATCCGCATCGTCATCATCACTGATGACGTCATCGTCACGTGACCCCCCCCCTAGGTCCTCCCGAAGGAACCCGAGGTCCTCCCGAGGTCCTCCCGAAGGAGCCCGAGGTCCTCCCGAGGCCCTCCCGAAGGAACCCGAGGTCCTTCCGAGACCCTCCCGAAGGAACCCGAGGTCCTCCCGAAGGACCTCGGGTTCCTTCGGGAGGACCTCGGGAGGACCTCGGGAGGACCTCGGGTTCCTTCAAGAAAATTTACCCATAATGCACCGCGCGGTTACGCCGACGGCGACGCCGCTCAAGCCGGAAACGGGCGCCTAAGAGCTGCGCTCTAAAAAGAAAAAAAAAAGAGGAGATTGAAAGACTGGCGGAAATTATCTAGGGGGAACTGAATGACATACAACCAACCGACACAGCTGGGGACAGTGCTGGGGTAACGCCGACTAGGTTTGACCAGAGGAAAATTGGATACACCCGTAGGCGGAGAGGGGCGTCTCAAATTGGTTTTTAGTTTTTTTTTGCCAGATTCACCAAAGGTCATCCTGGCAACAGTTACAAAATTGCAGAGGGTAAGCAAACTGGCAAAGGAAAGAAATCATACTTTTGGTTCTTAATTTCTAGGATAGGTGGCGCAAGCTGCCGCCCCAATGTAAAGGGTACACTCGTTACATCCATCCATCCATCCGATGGCTGGAGTGTCGTTACTGTAAGCCAACCTCCGAACGCAGTTTATTTGGTGGTTCCAATATGCACCTCCCCCAATGGGTCCAATTACAGCGACAAAGCATTTGTTATCTTGTAACTTAAATTTTGCAAAAAAAACAACAAACATTTTGGTGTGCATGCTGCGCACAGCGCAAAGCATGCAAGCCACAGCTGCTGCAGTGGCTTGCGCAAGAAATTCATTTGGAGGTCCAACTACCCTAAACGACTTCATTTTGTGGGCACAATATTTCGCAAAAAGACTTCCGAGAGTAAAATACAAAATTGTGATTTTAGAGTGACTGGCTATATTTTTTACCATAGGGATGGACATTGGCAGGATCAATTTTTAGCAATTTTTCTAAGTTGCAAAAATTAGGTCCTTGAAGTAATTAGGCTGTTTACAGTATTGTACTTACCCCTGCTAATGCTAGAAAAATGAGCCCAAGGAAAGTGCATGCTCCTAGAACTTGCCTGGGAATAAAATGTGAGTGCGCACAGCATTGCCACGCTTTCCAACATTTCCAATGGACTCCCAAAAGAAACTACAGTTGAACTCCTTTTTTTTGAGGTGACTGGGACCCGCCATTTATTTCGTTAAATCGAGAACTTTGTAAAATCGAGGAAGGGAGACCTCGCGCATCGGCTGTGCGGGGAATCCGAATTCGTTCGTTAAATCGGGAAATTCGTAAAATCTGTTTTTTTTTTTAAATCGAGGTTCAACTGTGCTTGCAAGCTCAAACATGTACTGGATCTTCGCAAAGACTTGTGCGCAGCTAAAGGGGCACTAAACCACTTTCTGCGAGTCAATGGTCATAACTAATCCACGGGCTCTACATCCTAATAGACTGGATCCATCCTTCCCCCACGAAGGATGGATCCAGTTCCGTCCACGTCACCACTCCTCTGCCAATACGGAGATGGCGGCGAAAGGAAAAAGAATGCGATACTCTGGCTCTGCAAGCAGTGCCTATACAGCGACAGAGCCCTCTTGTGTCTGCAATAGTTCCCAGGATATCAATCTTCGATACAGATTTTATTGAAGAAGTCCCCTGCACATGAATGTAGTTTGGTTTATTAGTATGCTTAGACTATAGACTGAGTTAGGACCATAGACTCTTACATTAAGTGGTTTAGTGCGCATTAGCACAGACAGTAAATATCCTACAAAGGCTGCAGACCAACGTGCCCACTGGTGCGAGGTTAGATATCGTCAAATCTTTTATTCAACACATTTTACAGCTACGCACTTGACGCAACCTGCAAGAGAAGACCCTCCCCGACTTACCTGCGGCGAGACCAGGTCGATTGTTGCACGGAAAGAATGCAAAACTTGGAGGACGTACCAAAGAAACCGGCAAAAGTTGTAGATGGCTCCGTTCCTCCACCATCAAAGTGCTGCAGCATGGACTCAACCACTGGATTCGCTGCTGGCTTGGGCCACGTTCAATGATGTGCCGTAATGGAAGTTCAGCCGAGTCAAGAACTACTCTACAGTTCAGACAGCTGCCAAAACGTATCGCGGAAGAGCACTGCCGCCTCTACGGACAGCGGCCGGTTGTTGCGACCCCAACCGTGTCCAAACCTGGACTGCAGGGAGGTAACGTCTGGTTTGCCTCTCAGATCCCGCAGCATTCCTTTCCCCTATCGCATATATGTACCAAGAAAAAAAGAGAATGTAGCCAAGGGAGAGGAAATCTTTCGGAGAGCCTTCAGAAAAGTAACCGTTAGTTTGTGAACAGTAATGACAATAACAGCCATATCCAGGTGTGCTAAAAGAAAAAGCAAACGAAACACTAGGGCAGTTTGGTTACTTGGTTAACACACTCTGGACAATGATGGACGCTGTCAAGGACCAGAGAGACAATTTTCTGTTTTCTGTGCTTCCTCCTGAAGTTAGGAACAGTGTGGATGTCGGGACGATTGGGACTGTACCTGTATCGTTCCACTACTGGACTATCCTAGAGTATGATTGGGAGGACAGAGGTAGCAGCTGCACCATTCCACCATGAGACTATTCCAGTATAAACTGGGAGGACCGGGACTGCAGTTGCATCACCCTGCCATTGGACTGTTCCAGTGTAAATTGGGAAGACAGACTGCAGCTCCATTAGTCCTCCATTGGACCATATGTCGAGGACTGTGGCCGTAGCTGCATTACTCCACCATTGAACAATCCCATATAAAATTGGGGGACTGACAGTTGCATTGTTTCACCACTGGACTATATTCCATTACTCAATTGGGAGGACTGGAACTGTAGCTGCATTGTTCCACCGTCCAAGTGTAAAACTGCAGCTGCATCGTTGGACTATCCCAGTATAAAATTTGGAATAGCTGCATCAGACCACCACTGGACTATTCCAGTATGAAGTTAGGAAAAATGGGATTCCAGCTGCATTATTTCACCATTCGACTATCTCAGTGAAAAATTGGGAAAACAGGGGTTACACCTACATCGCTCCACCAATAAACTACCCCAATGTAAAATTAAGGGCTGTGCTTGTAGCTGCATCATTCCACCATTGGACTATCCCAGTATAAAATTGGGAGGACAGACTCTAGTTGCATTGTTCCATCATTGGACTGTTTCTGTATAAAGTGTGAGGACTGGGACTGTAGCAGCATCGTTCGACCGTTGCACCGCTCCAGTGTAAAATTGAAAGGACTGTGGTTCCGGCTGCGTCATTGGACTATCCCAGTATAAAACTGGGAATACCTGCATCAGTCTACCACTGGACTATTCCAGTGTAAAGCTGCAAACTGGGATTGTAGCTGCATTACTTCACCACTGGACTATTCGAGTAGAAAATTGGGAGGACAGTGGTTGCGACTGCACCATTCCGCCATTGAACCATCCAGTGCAAAATTAAGGACTGTGGCTATAGCTGCACCGTTCCACCAATGGACATCCCAGTGTAAAATTGAAAGAACTAGGGGAAGACAAATGTTCCAGTAGAACAGTCATGGCTGCGGGGAGTTTCCTAACAAGAGGGCCACAGGACACTTTCTTTCTGAAGGCAATCCTAAACTACTCCCAGTGGATGACTCAGCAAAGCCACCATTTTGAACACTGCCCGATTAAAAGCAAGGAAATCACCACTGCAGCTCCTCAAAGACACCACCGAGGAAACCGTGATCAGAACGCTTTTTCCAATCCTCACGGAAACCGGGACTTCGAGGTGCTTCTACAAAGCATCCACCAAATGCTTTTACCTGTTCTTGCGTCATTAGGATTCTACGAATGCTGGAAGCATTTGGAACCCAACAAAAACTTGGGAGCTCAATGGTCACCGCCGCTCAAAGCTGGCGTTACTAGAACCGACGATTACACAGCTTGAAGCTAGTTTCATGCACTAGAAGTATCTGTATATTACCAAGTAGTTAAATGAACAGGTCACTGCTAGCACAAACCCATTCACACAAGGACAACCTTCTACAAACTAAGGACTGTATACTATCCCCGCCTCAACACACACCCAACTACTTCAATGGATTGCTGGCTAACAAATAAGCTCTAAAAAATAATTGCAAATTTACTACATAAGAAAAAAAAAGCACCAGCAAGGCTTTGCTTTTATATGTAGCAGCGAGCAACCTGGTTATATCCAAATCGGCGCTACTCTCACTCGTACTTGAGCCCCTAAACTGAGCAACATTAGTTCACAAAGTGTTACCACTAACAGTCTAGCTTGGAATGCACCTTGATGAAGAAGCAGCAGCAGGGTTAGTCCGACTGATTTTTCTCTGGAAATCGTGGACAACAACCGCAGCTGGACTCTGGACAGTTAAGAAGAATGTAGGACAGGAGAGGACCAGGGAAGCTTTATTCTACGACTAACAAGAGACGGGCCGTTCTTTATCTCGAGAAACGGAGCTTCTTCGCACGGGTCTGTGTCCGTCCCTTCCTCTTTCGACTGCAGTGGAGAGGCTGGCTCCAGAATCCACAGCTTCCTCTTGGTCCGGGGAAAAAGAAAACACACAAGCGCGCAGAAAACGTTGCTTCGTCGCCTCCGACAGCGTGGAAATGTGGCGAGACGGAAAGCAGCGTCTTCGGACAACGTACAAAAGTGTCACTACGAAGGAAAGAAAAAAAGAAATGAAAGCAATCTGCAAACAAGGCTTACGCTAAGCCTACGACAGACGATGACGGTTACTTCTATCTCGAGACAAGTGAAGTCGGGAACATTTACGCCTCGGATTTGCCCGGAGTCGTGGATGACGTGTTTTGAAAGAATGACCCGAAGAGAACGTTTGCTTTGGCTTTGATGAAAAAATAAAAATGAGTCTAGGACCTCTTAAACGAGAAAAAACAGCTAAGGCCAATGTCAATTTGAATGTCCAGGCAGCGCAACCCCCCCCCCCCCCCCCCCCCCAAAAAAAAACCTTTAAAACAAAAAGATTTAGCGGTCAATTAAAACAGACTGGTACAAACCAGAAAACCTGTGAATCATCCCAAACCGCGCGATACAAAAAAAAAAAAAAGCAAGAAAACCCAAGTGCGTTGAATCAAAACCGGAAATCCCCGATGCAGAATGGACACCACCCAATTGGACGGGACTCTTTGGACAGGTGCAAAAATAACGTCGATAAAAAAAGGACGCAGCAAATCCCCGAGAAAAGCAAATCACGTAAGACAGAAAAGAACCGTGTGCATCCACAGTGAGGCGAACGAGCGGTCCGCTGCACGACAACGATGGAACCGGTCGCGTGACGGCAACCCGGGAGGTGGAGTGACGGGACCGGAAGGTGGCGAGGAGGATGGTGAAGACGGCCCGAGGGCGAGAGGGAAAGGATCAGTAGAGCCGGACCTCGATCTGGCGGTTCTCGATGCGGATGCCGTTCATCATGTCTGGGAACGGGACAGTCAAGGAGGCTTGCAGCGTTCCAAGTGTTAGAGTTCGTTGTTACATACGAAAAGCTGCCGTCTCTTTGGTACACCAGCTCAGAATGAACAGCCGACATCATGATGTCGACCGACATCGCGGCGTCAGGCAACATAGTCACGTGACCCTGTGATGACCGTCACGCTGATGTCATTGCATAAACACGACATCATCGTGTCACGGACACGACGCTGATGTCTTATTCACACTGGCAATTGAACCACAGGTGCAAACACAGTTGTTTAAAGATCCAATGCAATTTCATGCGCGTCATTTGATGAAAACGAGCGCAACCGCCACGCGGTTCTGTTTTGAAAGCCAGTGCGAATTCTACTTTAATAAATGCTCGACTAGGAGCCATGTTCTGACTCCCCCCCCCCTCCCCCTTTATGCTCCATCTTCCATACGGTTCAGCTGCCTTAGGTGTTCCTCGGTTGTTTGTGCATTATCCACAATCCCATGGCACAGGAGTACTGGCAAAAGTAACAGACATTAGCCAAAAGCTACTCAACTGAAAGCTGCTCCCTAGAGATTTATAGTCCGTTGCACCCTACGTCCAAGTGCAGTGGATGCTACGAGTCATCGGAGCCAATCAAAGGCCGTGCGAGCGCCACGTGACTTTGGAGATGGGGCGCAGCGATGCTCAGAGACATTGTCACGTGCTACGATCCCACAGCGGGATTGGCTAGGATGGCTTGTGGCGTCCGCTACGACTGGAAATATGGTGCGACAGAGTATAGGTTGAAGGTTTTGTAACTTTCGATACATAGGTGGTACGGGGTGGCCAACAGACCGGTTGAGGACACATTTTAGGCGCCGTAGTTCGAGCTCGAACCATTAAGCAAGGCCACGCTTACAGCATCGGCGCTTCAATCTCGGATTATCTCACGGGCCCTTTGGATGCAGCGTCGAGGAGCTCGGGTGATGTCAGTATGACCCATCGCGAACCGTTTTAACGCTGCTGGAGTACGGAAAACTTTCCTACGATTTCACATAACCGGCAACAATGATTCTTATGCACCAAGATGGCCAAGGTGGCACCACTCCGAGACCAAGCTTACTCTGCGGAGCTACACTGTTCCCCCTCTCGATTTGTCACGGCGATGCCACGAGCCATCGCAGCCGACCCAACGCAGCAAACTTGTCCCGTGGCCACGCACCCCGCGCCAATACCGCCCAAAAGGCAAGGTCCGCAGCCTTCCCTACCCCAACATCATCTATAGTAGACCTCCACAGTGCCGGCTACCTCGTGTCGACATAACCATAGTGCGCCGTGCAGCGTCTCACGGGCGTCACTCTAGCGCGCGGCAACGCGGAAACGGACTCGTCTGCCACGCACAGGCCCAGCCGTCCCCATACTTTTTTTTACGAGCCACGATGGGCACGAGGCGGGCACTCGCCGCAAGGATCTGCGCAACCTGGTGGCAAAGGATACCGACGGCCCTCTGGGCATCCCGCTCCGAGTTGAAGCGGACCACCGCCGTGCCGCGTCCCTTGACGTCGGTGTAGCGCACGGTGCCTGCACGAAAAGAACCAAGAAGGAGAGCTTGAGCTCGCACCCGGGTATCCGGCAGTCGTCCGCCGCGCGTCCACTCACCGACGTCCCTGAAGCGGTCCCGCAGGTTCTGCCATGTGTAGTTCATCGGAAGCTGGAGAGAGAGCGCAAGGAGCAGTCGACGTCACTTCCGGCCACCCTCTAGCCCGTTGTCGGGATTAGCAAGCTCAGCAAGGGACTGATTCCGTTTAGAATCGAAATCTAACTAAGACCAGTTATCCCAGACACGCTCGCGGTTTTTTCGGATGCTTGTCGTATTTTCCAAGCAGAAAGTATCTCTTTCAGCCGCATTCGCCTGTCTCCGGATGCTTTTGCGTCCAATATTTTGGGAAAAGCAGAGCTTGCCCCAAAACATGGCTTATTACAAGGTCTGCTGGACATGACGCAAGTCATATAATTGTTTTTAAGCTGGCCGGTTGCAGTTGAAAGACATGCTTTTTACCTGCTAAAGTAGATGCGCACGTGTGCGTGACAACAGGCCTGTTTTCTTTTTCACACTTCCAGACAAAATGAACAAGAATGTTTGCTTCAGAGCATCACTTGGTATTCATTTGCATCATTGGCTTCGATATTTATGTGCTGCGGGGGAAATTATATTGCTACAAGTTTGCTGATCATTCTCCTGGCAAGAAATTAATCCTGTACAGAGAAAACATACTGCGGGACGAATGAAGGAAGGAACGCACATCTGCCGCACTGGAATAGTTGATTGCACCACTAAGATTCCTGCTCTGAGCCGCTCTCAGTTGCACCACTGAAACGTAAAGAAATCAAACTGGAGCCGAGATTGGAGTTGTTTTGCATCTGTTATAACCAAAGTGTTCTCCAACGTGCTGTGGTTTCCAATACATTCCTTTAACTCGGATGGTTGCACTGATCATGTGGCAGTGGCACACAATTTCTCACCCTTTTCAGGCATGGAGAAGAGATTAAACAACTTTCTGAAATTAAGCCAACATTATACAGCACCGAGCTGTTTAATAGTAGATAACTTTAACCTTCCAAAAATGCATGTAAGTTTGTCTGCTCCTTGCATTCATTTATTTGGCAAATGCACTCGCATGCTCAACCAATGGTGAAGCGTGCTCGGCTGCCTTTTTATCGCGCTCCCTGCACATTTTTATGTTGTCGTCCGATTAACGTGCCCCTCCTTACGTTCCAAGGAGCCAAAGACGTACTCTGAAACGCTTGCTCGCCGTATGGATAGAACACACTTTGCGAAGAGCTCATCAAAACAGTTGAAAACACTACCGAGAATGTGAGCAATTAGACGACACAAAACAGGATAGAGTATAAATAAATTTACTAGTGTGCACACTTCCATTCCATTTTCTTCGGCAGGTGGTGTCCGTCTCACATTGTATCGAAAATATACGGAGAATACCAAACTTCAAGATCAGTTCCCAGGTGTGGAAACAAGCTCAGATGGCAAAAAGACACCATCCAAATAATCTATGAAGGTGCACAACCTTATTCGTCAATAAATAAAAGGTGATGTTAATGCATGAACACACGCATTAACCTAACAAGCAACAAAAAGAATAATGCACAGTTTTTTTAGTCGTCGTTTCTCTCTGAAAGCACCTTATTGAGAAAGAAAGACTACGACCAAAAAATCCACAGGGTTAATAATGATCCCGCACACTTTGTCAAACACTCTCGAGACCCAACTATGAAATGCAGATGTTCGTTGGTTGATCATCTCAAAGAGCTCCGAAAGAAAGGAAGGCTAAACGACTCCCTGTATTGCCAGTTTTTCTCCTCCGATGGTTGCACACCGAAAGTGTGTGGCCCGCCAAAGGTGCACAAACCAGAATACCCTCTACGCCCGACTGTTTCTTATATTGAGACCCATGCGTGATCCGTCAAAATAGTTTGTAGAGTTGCTGGCACCCGTCACAGGAAAACACTGCTTTTCTGTTCAGAACTCTCAAAAGTTTGTTTAGTTAGTTCACACGCAAACTCTTCTTTCGCATGAGGGTGCATTCTATTTTGACATAGTCTCTCTTTTTAACAATGTTCCAATTGATCTTGGCAGTGATGTTGCGCATGAACGCTTACTTAATGACGGAACGCTTCACATAGATGATACCGTTTTGCTTTTAAGATTTTGCACTATAGTCGGTTACAAGTCAAGAAGGTAGGAGAAGCTCCTCCCACAAGTGTGATGCGCCCGTTTCAAATCTCTCCGCAGTCGAAAGAAGAGTTCACTGGAAACGCTCCTTGTTCCGCTGCAATGGATTCCCACTTGTCTCCGATCCCACTTTTAAAGAAAGCGACCTTTGTATTTATCAGAGAGGGAACCGAGCCCCTGAAAGCAGCCTTTGTATCCATCGGGGGGAAAGCTAATCCCCGAAAGTCGTATTTGTTTCCGTCGGTGGGGGAGAACTCTAATCTCCCTCTCGTGGCTTCCACAATGCTAAGTCAAAGTCGAAAGATAAAGCAAATATTTACAGAAGGGCAAGACCCTCCTCGCGCGTTGGCCGCGACGTCACGGAAACGGTGGGACGCTATTGGATGCGGAGGTGGCGGAGGGATATCTGATTCCCTTTGAGGGGCATTTGCCGCTACCTTCTTAACCTGTAACTGACTATAGTGTTTCTTTGCCTCCCATGGAGAGGTGTACCGCTAACTAAATGGTTGTCGAATGGGAGCCCGGTATCTTTCAGTGTTGCGAATCTCATTATGGAGCATATAGAGAAAAAAGTGCCGTGTAATGTCACTTTCCGTCAAATTTGACCACCGATATGTTAATGGCTCTCACAGAGATTTAAACAATGTTCCCCCCCACAATACAGTTCACTTGTGAGGCAGAAGAAAGCATGTTGCCCTTTTTGGGCGTACGTGTAAAGCGATAGGTAGAGCTGAACCATCGGATTGAGATGAACGTACGTCGTAAGCCGTGTGAAAGAGGAAATTGTATGGATTTTCGATCTCGTCACCCAACGCATCACGAGAAGTCAATAATACAATCATTGGCAGTTCGATACTTTAGCCCCACGTTACGAATAAAAGAACAGGACGCAGGACGGCCAAAAAAAAAAAAAAATACAAAAACACTCTTTTCATGTAAGGCTCGTCAAATTATGAGGAGCTGGAGAAAACCAGCCTTCTGTGTTAAGTCCTTATTTTGAATTCTTGTTGTTCACGTTCCGCCCATTGAAGGCTGTGTTCTTCAGCAGCGTAGAAGCCGTCTGCTTTCATCACCGTCACCATGGCAACGAACGCCAAATTACCCTTTCAGACGGTGCATGTATCACTAGAAAGCGCATTAACCCACCTCCACCTGTGCTCATGCCGCTTCGCGGCGACAGTCTGCAACTGCACATTACAAAACTATTAAACTTCGGCTAGCAGACGGCGTTCGGAAAATGGGGTCAGCTGTTGCTGGCTTCACGCGGTGGTAAAGTGCGAGCTTCCGTTCATTCTGATGAGTAAAACCTGGAAATTTTTTCTTTGGCTGTTCTACCTTTAAATCACATTTTTATCTACCTTAAAAGAACCAATCTGGTCTCTCCATTTCAAGCAGCAGCTGAGCGGTAAATCAATTTTCTGTATGCCCATTGTTGAAGAGCCATAAACAACAAATTTAAAGTGTCCCCAGAACTCGAGAGGTCTAAAACAAAAAAAAACATGCCACAATATTGCTGAAGTATGTAAATAATGCCATCTTTGTTACGAAGACAGATGCAAGCTGGTAGCCATGTTAGACAAGTGCAACCACCATTCCCAGAACTATTTTTGACAGCCCACCACCTTGTGATGAGGCTTAAACCTACCTACCTTGAAACCAAAATTGGCATTCTTCGGCTATCCACGAGATTGCAGTACATAATTCTCCGTACTAAATTCAATTTCTTGACGGCGCTTGGAAACCATAGATCACCGGGGATCGAAGGTCAATGGGCGCAGTCAGGAAAAGAGTTAATAACGATGTCAACAAACAGTGCGCGCGTTGCCCACCACAGAAAAGAGCTTCATTGACTTCGTCGTTGTGGCATGGTACGGTCGATCGCAGCTCCCGCGACCGTGCCCATGGCCACCCAACTTTGGAGAATCTGCCAGATTAAGCGATGTACCACTTACGACCAGTTTCCAGACTGGAAATTATCACTTTTTAGTCAAGATACAATGATGATGGGTTATCGGGTTTTTAAATTATTGCTTAAGTGGATTGCACTGCATACACACCAGGCAATCAAGATTGGTTTGACAGGCGGCACCCTCTCATGCGGGGAACCTCAAGCTAAAATTTCAGAGTGGCCTACTGAACCGACTTGGAGCTCCTGTCATATCATTCGTTGGTTAGGCCTACCCAGAGTTGCACATTTTGGCGACCGGCCGAGCCGACTATTAGCCCCGAGGAGGATCGATTGGAGCGCTGCTATCACGATGTAGAAACCAGAATCGCACGACGGGGCCAGAAATCTCTTCCTCTTTGCTTTGGTTGAGTGATTTAACACATAGCAGTAGAAACCGTTTGTCGAGTATATTTTATTTTTGCTATTACAAAGAACTCGTTTGTGAGGTTAAATGCGCTAAAACAAACAACACAGAGCACTTTGTGTTGTTCGTTTCTTTTACTCGTCCGTTGTTTTTAGCGCTTTTACCCTCACAAACATGGATCACCAACTAGCCCAAGTGCCTTACCTCCTACAAAGAACTCGCTTAAGATGAAACCTAAGAACAAACCAGAATATGTGAAGTGCAATGACCGCAAGTTTCATATAGGATACGACGGAATCCTACAATGGCCGCCAACTTCACTATGATTCTTCGTTGTGGAAACCAAAGACTTCTATGTGCGGGTCCCCGACTTCAAGCAGCGAAAAAAGAAATACACACCCCTAACTACAATGCCCGACGACGGCTGCTCGGCCCTCGAATTCTGGAAACGACGACAACGATCCCACTGGCTCGAGTGGCCATACTCAACAGGCAAGGCCTAGCAAGGCGCTTGTCCCTCACTGCCCACGACTGCGGCGTGCCATGACAGGCTACCCCGTTAAATAAAACATATGTGCGACCCTTTTTGCTTGTCAGTTGACCCTTTCCGCACGAATAGCTTGAACGTTGCACGGTGGTGATGGATGC